TGCTCGGGTCTCTCAGCTGGCAGGCGACCAGGACGGTTCCGAGGTTCAGAATCTTCCTCCCAAGCCCTGGTGTCAGAGGCAGCAGTCGCCAAAGTGAGGGTGGGGGCTGGGTGCACAGCTGCAGGATGGGCAGAAGGGCGAGGCCAGGAGAGGACAGGAGTATGTCAGGGAGGAGGAGGGTGAGGGATGGGTTGGGAGCAGGCAGGACACCAGGCTGGGTGGGGCGTCAGGACATCCTGGCGGGAGGTGACAAGGCAGTGAGCGTGGCAGGTGGTCTCTGCAGAGGGGGCCAGGTCAGGTGCCTCCCTGCCCCAGCAGGGCAGCCAGCCTGAAGCTGCCTTGTAGGGAGAGTGTGCTGAGCCAGGGGCATCTGGAGACTGTGATGCAGGTCTCCAGGGACACAGGTGGAGGTGAGAGCAGAGTCAGGGAGAAGTGAGCCTTGGGGGTTGGGAGGGGCCCTGGGTCCCACAGGACAAGAGGGAGGGGTCCAAGATCCCAGCAGGCTTCCACCTAGGGCTGCTGACCTGGCGTTGAGGTGGACCAGTTGGGGGGGGGTGGACAGCGACCTCTGCTGGAGGGTCTGGGAATAGGGGCCTAGGGCAAGAAGGCTGTTTCTACCTTCCAGGAGGAAATCCTGCAGTCTGGGTGGAAAGCAAACCTAGGGAACCGTGGACAGAGGTGGGGTGGGTTCCGATCTCAGCAGGCATTATCCTGGGGCCCAGGATGCAGATGAAATGGACCGTGCTCCCTTTGTGTCAGGGGAAGTCCGTGCCTCCCTCGCCCTGGTGACTTTGATTGGCTTTTGTCATTGTGTAGTTTTGCCTTTTCTAGATTTTCCTATAAACAGAGTCATACAGTATGGAGTGTAGCCTTTGCACCTCATGTCCTTCCTTTAGGATGAGGTCTTCAGCATCCTTTGTGCTGTTGGTGGCTCAGCCATCCCTGTCTCCCTGTGGCCAAGTGGTGTCCCATTGGGTGGATGGCCCTCGGTTTGCTCTCCATTCTCCTGGGGATGAACAGTGGCGTTGGTTCCAGTCTTTGGCTGTTATGAATTGAGCTGCTGTGGATATTTGAATATATTCTCTTTTCTCTTGAAGAGTGGGATTGTTGGGTCATAGAGTAATTGTAGGAAGTAATTTCCTTACCGGAAACTACCGAACTGTTTTCCCAAGTGGCTGAGCCATTTCCCATTTCCACCAGCAGTGAGCACAGTGCCATTTCCTCCACTCACCCACTGCCTCCTAAGGAAGATGTTATTTCTAAGCCAGACCAAGTTTTTAAAAAATGGTTTTCATTGTCCTAAAAAGTATTTTTGATATGTAGAAAGGAAACGGCCTCATCTAAGTGGTGGACATGACTCAGACGGACACCTGCAAAGTGCCAGAGTGGAGGAGTCACCTGTGTTACTGTCCCCTGGTCCAGTCCTGCTTCACCAGGGCAGCCCTGGCTGAAATGCTGCATTTGTTATTCCAGTCCTGTTCAAAAAGACCTTCATTATAGAAGACCTACATTATAGAAGACCTACATTACAGAAGACCTTCCTATAATGTATATTCTGGTCAACATGGTGGTGCTCACTTTGCTTGTTTAGGAGGCTTAAAAAAAATGTTAAGTAGGGATCCCGTTTCTTTCTAACTCAGTATTCCACACCCAAGGAACAGTTGGGTCATTATGGGACAGGAGTCCGCACGCTGGTAAAGCTGCCTCAGGTCCCGCTGGCTGGTGTGTGGCGATTTATCCATTGTCCTGTTGGTGGACACGGGAACCCTCCTCCCCGGGGTTCTGTGCTAACAGCCGTCCCTCCTTCCCCTCGGGTTAGACATTCCGAGACACCATGCTGGTGCCTGGCCAGAGAACAATCTCGAGCCCTGTAGATACCGGGCTTTCCCTGGGCATACACATCTGCGATAAATTTTAATTTACACACTAGGTGCAGTAAGAGATTACCAATAATAAAAACAGAAGAATTACCACAATACATTGTATTAAAAAGTTTTCTAAAACTTACAAGTTATTTCTGGACATTTTCCATTTAATATTTTTGGACCACACTTGAGCCTGGGTAACCGTGGAAAGGAAAACTGAGCGTCAGGGGTACCCTGTTACACTCACGCTGTGCTTGTCTCTAGATCTGAGGTGCCAGGTGTCCCCTCGGTGGGGACAGTGGGGTGGAGTGTCTGGGTCACAAGATGAGAACGGAAGGGATCCTCCTCTGGTGCCTTCTCAGCATCTCTCTCATCCCCTGTCCCCGTGCAGGGTCAGGTTCTAGGCTGGGTGCTTTGCTTGTAGGTCATTCCACTCTCAAAATCATGCTGCGAGGAAGGTAGTACTATCACCCTTACCTTACAGGACCTTAAGGCCCAGAGACATCGAGTCACTTGCCTAAGGTCACACAGCTAGGAAGCAGAGTCAGGGCCAAACCCGAGCCCCATGGTATAGGACAAATTCCTTAATATCAAGGTCCTCCTCGTTTCCACCCTCACCAAATACCCAGCACCCTGGGCTGCATCTCTGGGGTAGCACAGGCTGCCCGGAGAGTCCAGCCTTGTGGGTTACGACCAATTTACAACCAGTCACTCCATAGTGAGAGTGCAGAGGTTTGTGCCTGGCCGAAGCAGGCTGGTTTCCCTCCGGCCTCGAGTCTCCGATGCAGAAGCTTCTGGAGGGGAGGACCCAGCCTGGCTTGCTCACCATCACTTTCTCTCAAGGCCTGGAGCGATGCCTTTTCCCCGCCACTCCAGCTGGCCCTGTGCATGGCCATCAGCTCAGCTGTCCCCAGGCAGCGAGGGCCATGAAAGGGGTTGTGGGCTGGGGGAGGTGGCGAACAGGGATTTGTTTTTCTGGGGTTAAACATCCCAATTTGAGGTAAAACAAACTCCTGGCTGGAGCTTATCACCTCCAGCTGGGCAGCAGAAAGGCCCATTTAATCAGATCATTTAGCAGTGGATCGTGCTAACCAGAGCGAGCTGGGCTCCTTCTGCACTTGCTGAAGGCCGGTTGGTCTCTGGGGGCCGAATCTCGCAGGCTGGTGGCCATTCTGGAGGCCAGGGCTGCAGAGCCAGGTGGGCTGCTGGCCATCTTTGTCCTCGGATCACCTGCTGACATGGGGGTGCTGTGCTCTGGGCTATGGAGTCCGCATCCTGAGTCAGGAGGCACGTGCCCTGGGCCTCTGTTTGGGGACTTCAGTGAGACAGGAGTGGCTGTTAGGGACCCGAGGAGCCATGGGTAGGAGAACCAGTCCCTGCCCAAGGCAGGAGAACACCCAGCCCTCCCACCAAGATGTGGGCGCCTAGGGACGATGACGCTGGGACCAGGAAGAGTCTGGCCAGCCTGGCCACTGCCCGACTTCATGACCTGGCAGGACCCTTGTCTCCTCCAGGGCCAACTTGAATTTTTCTTGCTGTGGACTCAGCCACGCTGCAGGTTAAGTACTCGGCACAGTTCTTGTTCCTAGGGATTCCTCAGTTCCAGGAAGAGGCGAGGAAGGTAGAGGGGAGAAGGCAGGGGAGGGCAGACTTGGGTGGAGTGAGGGGCTGTCTTTCTTCTCTGCTCTGTTTCTTTCACGCCACCTGCCACCAGGCTAAAAGCACCCCTCAAACTGTAACTTGGGTAGAGCAAGCCCCTTTCTATTTTCATGGCATCCAATCCTTGCTGGGCAGGGCCTGTTTGAGGGGAGGAGAGAAGAGGAGGGAGACAAAAAGACAGAGAGAAAAGGACAGGAGGACAGAGATGGAGAGAGACAGGGCCAGCCTCCTGTGAGGACACTCGCCACATCCTTGGGTGCTGTAATTTGAAGAGACCACAAAGATGCTGCCCTAAATAGGTCCCGCCACAGGGCCCACCCTCCCTGGAGCCTCCATGGCTTCCAGCAGGGCCACTGAGAGACCTGCAGTGGGCAGCAAGGGTGCAGGGTGAGGCAGCCCGCCACTGCCAGGGTTAGAGGGCTACCACTGGCAGAGGGGCTGTGCAGGAGGCAGGCTGGGCCTGGTGGTGCGGCCCTTCTCCTCGGCTGCCTATTAACCGGATGCTGCTGCCTTCCTTCCTTCCAAGCTCTCAGGCTGGGACACTTGTTCAGGGAGTGGTCAAGACCTTGCTCAGAGCTGGGATGGATCAGTCACTCTTATGATTGTTATCCAAAATGCCCCTCAAAGGCTCAAGGTGTTGAAGGTCTCACTGGCAGCTGATGGGCTTTGGGGAGGTGATTGGATCTTGAGAGCCCTAACTTCATCAAGTGGACGAGATCACAATTCAATGACATTACTGGGAGGTGATGGAAACCCAGGAGGTGAGGTCTGTCGAATGGGAGTGGATCAAGAGGGCATGCCCTGGGGGACTATACCTTGTCCCTAGTTCCTTCCTCTCTGGCTCTTTCCTGTTTCTTCTCCCTGGCTGCCATGAGATGAGCAGTTTTCCTCAGCCAAACCCTTCCTCCATGATGTTTCTGCCTTCCCACAGGTCTAAAAGCAGTGGAGCCAGCCAGCCATGGACTAAGCCCTCTGAAACCATGAGCCAAAATAAACCTTTCCTCCTCTAAGTTGCTATTCTCAGGTGTTTTGTCATAGCGATGAAAAGCTAACACAGTCACCATCTTGGTGATCCCCCAGCACCCCATGGGATGCTCCCCACCCCACCAGATTTTGCTTTGGCTGTTGGGTTCTTCTAGATCCTCTTCCTTCCCCAGCCTGCTGTGTGTCCTGTCCTCCAAGCCCAGTCCTTACTGTCACCTCCTCGCCGACCCCAGAGCCCTCCCTGCCCTTCCTGCTGTAGGTGGCCTGCAGCCCCGAGAGGACACCCAGGGCATCTGCTCTCTGCCTTGGCTCCCTGGCTGGCAGTGCAGCACTTACGGACAGGTCTCACTTGCCTTCTAGTTGCTCCCAGACTGTTCCTCCCGCTGTGTGCCCCTTGCCTCTGGGTGAGTGAATACTGGGTGCCAGCACTGAACCAAACACCGTGAAGGCACTGGCTCCTTTCATTCTAACAAATAGCTCTCCTTTTCACAGATGGGGCAATTGTGCTCCACCTTTCCTCTGGGCAGCCACCAGCTTTGGCTCCTGCTCATGACTGAATCCCTACACCGTCCGCTCCTAGGTCCAGGCTCTGGGACAGCCCTGATGGCTCTGCCTGCCGCTGTGGCTGTTTGGAGCCTCGGAGAGTCTTGTCTTTGCAGATGGCCTCAAGCTGATCTTCTCACCTCTCACCAGCGATAAAGGTTTGTGCTGCTTGTTTCTTATGTCTCTGGTGAAAACCCCTGCTTTTCCTCCCAAGCTTTCTGTCTCTTCAGCCTGTAGCTCAGCTGAAGAGAGAATAAAGCCCACCGAAGTGGACAGACTGGTGTGGCGGGTGGTGCTCGGGCATCCTGCACACTCCCCTGCTGACCTTACAGTGAAACCAGCCATGCTGGGGACGTGTACACCATGGGAACTGGCAAACGCTACCAGTCCAGGCTTTCCTAGGAAGGTTACCTTTACCAGTGCATGCCAGGCCCCCTGGGCAGGTGTGTTCCCCCTGATTAGAGAAGAGCATGGTGCCCACACTGAGGGGCTACCTGGGCTGCTTGCTCCACAGTGTCCTCTGGCTGGGAATCGAACCCAGGGCCTTCACACTATTTATTTTTTTATTTTGAGACAGGGTCTCACTAAACTGCTAAGTTGCCCAGGCTGGTCTCAAACTTGCCATCCTCCTGCTTCAGTCTCCAAGAGTGCTGAAGTTATAGGCCTGCACCCCCTTGTCTGGTTCCAGAACTTATTTTTAAAAATAAATACTTGAAAACTGAGTGAAACAAGGGTCCCACACAGACCTATATAGTGTGATTTCTTGCAGAACAAATGCTACATGGACCCTGGCCAGCGTGGCCAGTCACGAATTCTGCTGGGCCTGTGGAACTTTCACCTGGCTCTCTCCCTGAGCCAGCCCTCCTGGAAGCGGGGTCCTGGGTGCTCCTAGGTCCCGAAGGAGTCATTGAGCCAGAGTCAGGTTCTCTGCAGTCAGACCCAGCTGTGCAGAGACTCTGCCACCTCCTTGTGGACACAGTTGCATTAAAGATTCAGGATGTAAATTTGAACAGGGATTAACCATTCCCAGAACAAACAGCCCTCTCAGCCCCTCCCTCCAAACGGAGCCTGCAGTGTTATCCCAGAGCAAACAGGTGCTGTTCCTCACTTCCTCCCTCTTGGCTGCCTGCGCTTCCCAGGGCCGGTCTTCCCACAGCAGAGCCCAAGGCTGGTGGGTCTCAGCTGCAGTCAGGGCAGCCTGTGAGGCCTAACTCTCGGGCCCAAACTGACTGGGCCAAGGGTGCCAGATTCCCAGGACAATGCGATGTTGTGGATGTACAGGAGGATGTTTCCAGAAGGGATTAGCATCAGATAGGAAAACTGAGGAAGGATGATCCATCTTCACTAATGTGCTCGGAGCCGGCAGCATCCAGGATATCGAGGCCCAGATGAGATGAAAAGTTAGGATGGCCCGGTTCCTCTCTGAGCTTGAGCTGGGCCACCTGTCTTCTCTGGCCCTCTGACATTGGAGATCCTGGTCCTCAGAGCTTCAGGCTGAGAATGCGTCTCAGTGCGGGCTTCGCCAGTTCTAGGCTGGCAGGCAGCACGTTGTGAGGCTTCTGGGCCTCCATGACCACATGAGCCAATTCCCGCAGACACCCCCACCTCTCCATCTCTCCATCCCATTGGCTGTTTCTCTGGAGACACTCACTAATACTCAGCTCAAGGGATGGCAGAGCAGAAGGGGACTTGGTGAGGGCCTTGTTGGGTTTCTTTTTGTTCTTTAGAGAGAGGCCCAGCTCAGGCCCCAGGCAACTCGCAGTTCAGAATCAGGGGAGCAGAGGACTGGCCAAGACGAGCCCCAGACCTCTCTTTAGAGAGATGAGTCAGAGAGATTATGGAGTTCAGAGAAAGACAAAAAAGAAGACAGGTGATCGTGTTGTATGGAAGGCAAGGAAGGGTCCTCACCCTGGACATGTGGGAACATTTTGAGTGAGACAGGAGCCTCTTAGAGCAGAAACGTCCCACATTCACCCACCTCCAGGGGCCAGGCAAGCACAGGAGTGGGCTGGTCTACTGGAGACACCTCAGTCCTGAGGGACTGCGACTGTGTGGCTCTGGGGATTTCTGACCCCAGGCCCAGCAGCCTGCAGGGCACTGGTCTCTTGAGAGGAGCCAGACATTCAGTTTTATGTGAAAGCTTATGCTTTTTAAATGTTAGCATCCAAATCTTAGAGTTAAAAAGCACGTTATAGCCCATCCCAAGCTGCTGTGGGCTGCCTCTCCTCCCTCGCTGGGCTGTTTGCCGGATCTGCTCTCCCCCTAGGCGGCTGCTGGCCCAGGAGGGCTGATGCAGGCCTGTTTCTCTGCTCTTAGGACCTTCCAGGGGCGGCCGCCATCCAGGGTAATTTGATTTTGCTTTTCTCGGTCGCCTTTGATCCTCAGAGGTTGCCAGGCATCGTTAGTGGTTTATTTGTAGCCACTGATGATGGGAGAATGATTTTGAAAGCTGCAGCCTGCAGAGAGGAGCCCCCGTGGGCTGTTGTCAAGTCAATTTCCACCGTCTTCAGGGCCAGTGTGGAAACCACGTGCAGAGGCAGAAGCACCCAGAAGGGAGAGGTCCCCAAGGGTTCCCGGGGCTCCTTGGGCTGGAACTAGGCTTTGAAAGCTAGGGATTAGCTTTCTTGAATGCTACCCTCACCCTCCCACCCATCTATCTGCCCACCCGCCCAAGCACATGGGCATGCCACTCGTGTCCACCAGGTGTTGGTCCTGTGTCGCAGCTGTGCTGGGTAAAACGCTGGGTGACACAGTTGTCCTTGTCCCCAGAGAGATTGCTTTTTTGGGCCCATCCTTCTAGTGTCACAGCTAATCTGCAGCAAGAGCGAAGGAAAGCACTTCTAGAGGAGGGAATAACAAGAGAGAGGCAGGGACCCTCTCCCAAGGCCCATGTAGACTGAGCAAAGAAACAAATGGAAGTTAGGGAGTCACCCTTTCTGCTCCCCTAGGTATAACAGGGAAAAGGCTTGGCATGTTTTGTGTTTGGTGCAGAAAATGTCCCTGGGGACAGCAATGGAAGGACTCAGACATCAGCAGTGGATGGACCGTGGGAAGATGGGCTTTCCCAGGGCAGGTTATAAAAAAGCCATGCAACGATTTTAATGAGTAGATATTTTTTATTTTGAAACAGGATGTAGCTAAGTTGCCCAGACTGGGCTGGAATTTATGATCCTCCTGCCTCAGCCTCCCAGAGTGCTAGGATTACAGGGGTGCAGCACGGAACCTGGCTTTAGAGATGTCCCTGAACTGGAGCAAATATTCCATCCCTTCTAGCTCAATTCCCATGCCTTCCAGGCTTTGCAACACTTTGTGAATGTTGCCTATGGATGTTTAGAAACCAGTCTCAAACCACAGGTCCCTGTTTGTCCTCAAGCCCAGGGACATTTTCCCAACTGCATTGTGCCTCACCGGGACATTGTTGTCTAGGCCAGGTGCAGAGAAAGTCTAGGTTTTAGGTTCCATGTAGCCCTTTGGAATGCATCATGAACCTTGTCTGTTCCCAAAGTGGGGCTCTTTGCCCCCCACTGGGGTGGACTCCAGGCACCTCCCATCAGGGCCCAAACCCCAGCAGATTCTCATAGTTCCTGCATAGGCTCATCCTGCCCTGCTGGTATTCATGATGCCTCTATTCCACTAAGTCCAGGAGGGTCATTGGGCTACATGGGTGCCTTGCAGCCACTGTGGTTTTCCTTCTCCAAAGGTCTGCCTTCTATCAGCAAATCTATGGTCTGCCTGTTAGCTATGGGGCCCTGTGCAGAGGAGGACAGAGGAAGATGGAGATGGAGAAGGTGGAGGAGGGAGGCAGGGGTAATGGCCAGGTGATGCTCACACACTGTCCTTGCCTGTTCTGTCCCCCCTTCCTTTTCTGCCCTTCTGTTATGGCTTGTGTCTAGATGTCCCCCCAAAGCCTCATGGGGTCATAGGTGGGCTTTTTGGAGATGGCTGGGTCTAGGGTGCATGACACTGGGATCAAAGATGTGATGCTGGGATTGATTCATGGTTTGATGCTAAGATTAAGTCTACCCCACCCTGGGTTGTCCCTGCCCTAAGGTTGGTACCCTAGATAGGACATAAGGGACAGAAAGAGGGGCGCTGCTTGTCATTGCTGCTTGTGGCTTACTGCTTGCTGCTTTTTGTGCCTTTGGCCTGCCATGGAGTGTTTCTCCTCTGTGATGCCCCATTGCCATGCCTTCCTGCCTTAGAGCCAGCTGATTATGGACTGAAGCCTCTACAAACTGTAAGCTAAATAACCCTTTCCTCCTTTAACTTTGGGCATGGGGTATTTTGTCTCAGCAATGGGAAAAACTAAGACACCTTCCCTCAGATCTGTGGGGATGACTCTTGTCATCTGTGGTCGCCAAAGTGGAGGCAGTGAGCCAGAGTGAAGGAGCTGCAGGGAGAGGGAGACACTGGCTGTGCCCTGAGTCCTCTGTCCCTCTCTAACTGGCTCTTCTGGTCTGTGGCTCCTGGGAGGTGAACTGTGGGGGTGAGGTAGAGAGAGACTCGAGATACTCTAGGCACAAGAATCCCCTGGACCGGAGATTTGCTCCCAGTTCCCTGCTCCCACCCCTGTTGTCTTAACTTGTGACCTTCACTCTGCCTCTGGCCTCAGTTTGTTCATCTATAAAAGGCGAGGATTTGACCACTTCAGGGGTCAGCAAACTTTTTCTGTAAAGAGTCAGATAAATATCCCAGGTTTTGCCAGGCGGGAAGTCTGTATGGCAGGTTCTTACCTCTGCCACTGCATACGGGAAGTAGCAAAGGACAATCTGTACACGAGTGGGCATGGCCATGTTCCAGAAAATCTTTACTTACAAGAATTGATTGCGGGCTGTATTACTGTGCTTGTTTACCTGCAGTGAAGCCTTTTCCCCAGTGGAATCTGGATTGAAAGCTCACCACATGGAGTAGCTACACAGCTTCTCAGATAGCAGCAGGGGAGAGGGCACCCTCCTGCCCATGGCTCCTCCAGCACCCTCATCTCTCATCCCACCCCACCGCCACCCCCAGCATGAGTTCCTGGAAGGGAGTTTGAGAACCAGGGGACTCTGCTGAGTCCCATCAGGGACATCTGGCCCATCAGGGTTCAGCCCTACACAGGACTCTGTGGCCTCACTTCCCTGGTCCAAAGATGGCCCTAGAAGCCCCTACACCCCCACCTGGAGCAGTGCCTGCCTGCATATTTATTGAGCAGTTTTAATGGGAAATTGAGGCTTGGTAAGAACACATCTTCACCTCTGAAAGTCTGAGTGGCAGCAGAAAATTACCAGGAGCTCCCCATGAAATGTCTTTGGACACAGAGTGCTGTGTAAATGCGGATCCAGGAAGCCTGTCTTAATACACTAAGGGGTCGTGGGGAGGAGTTAGGGATACTGAGGGATGGGGCTTCAGGTTTTAAGGAAAATGTCATGCTTTTCCACGGAGCCCGGAGGTGTGATGAGGGCTCTTTGGGGTGTGCAGACTCTACAGGCTGGATGGCTGTCATTGTCTCCCATCGGCTCTGGCCAGGCTGGAGTCTGCTCTGGCCTCTACCTTAGCTCCCCACCCCTGCTTGGGCCCAGGTCCCTTGACCCTAATGGCCTCCCATCCCCCAAGGGAGCACCCATCCCTTGACTCCCCAGCCTTGACCCAGGGCTCCCTCTGCTCCTGAGTCTGCAAGTCTCAGCCCACTCTTCAGGCTGCCATTACCAACGCTGTCATTGCTGCCTACCCCTTCCAAGGCCTGGGACTGCACCCTTCTGGGTGGCCTTTACCCTTAGTCTCTGACCCTGAAGTGTGCCACCGAGTCCCTTCTCCTCGCTGGGTGCCACAAGGATGCTCAGGCCTCTCCAGCAGTCTGGTGGAGGGAGGGCAGTAAGGCTGGATCCCCCGCGATGAGAACTCATGGACTATCACATCTGGAATGGGCTCAAGGAACTGCTTCATCCAACCTCCCCTTTCTTATATGGAGGTGAAATTCACAGAGCAAAAATTAATCATTTAAAAGTGCACAATTCATGCTGGGCAGGGTGGTGCACACGTGCAATCCAACTTCTCCAGAGACTGAGGAGGGAGGATTGTAAATTCCGGTCCAGCCTGAGCAACTCAGTAACTTAGGGAGGTCTTGTCTCAAAATGAAAAATAAAATTAAAATTAAAAAAGGCCTGGGGATGCAGCTCAATGCAAAGGCCTTGGGTTCAATCCTCAGTACTGAATGAAAAGGCAGAATTGACAATTCAGTGGCACTTAGGACATTCACAGTATTGTGACAACCACTTCTCTCTGGTTCCAGAACCTTTCTATCCCTCCTCAAAGACACTGTGGTGTCTGGAGCATCACTGCATCGTCACGTTATGCCACACAGGAACCAAGCTGCTTCCTTTGGGTGTCTACCCTGTCGGTGAGTCTGGCCCCTCTTGAAGAGCTTTGCAGCAGTCCAGAACCCCTAGCTTTGAGGCCAGCTTGCAAAGCTGAGGTTTACCCCATCTGCCTCCCACCCTGCCCAGGGCTTGGGAAAATAGACTCTTGTGAAGATATTCAGGTTTCAGGGTTAGTGTTTGTCACCATTTTCAAGAAAGGACAGAGGAAGGTTGGGTGGTGCTCGTCAGGGTCCCTGCCTCCCGGTCCCCTGGAGACCACTCCCAACACACTGCTTCCCACCACCTTGTCCCAGCCACCAGCTTTCCTGGGTCTACTCAGTGTGATCAAAGACTATGGTGAATATTTAAATTAAATTTATTACGGTAAAAGACATTGCCACTCACCCCCCTCAAAATACTCGCCCTTGCTCTGAACACACTCATCCTACGACCCTTGCCATCTTCTGTAGCTGTTCTGGATGTCCTCTTTTGTGACTATCTTTAGTTGTGCGGTTGTGACTGCTGCAGTGTCCAGAATCTGTTCAAAATGCTTGCCTTTCACGGTCATTTTGATTTCAGGAAGGAGCCAGAAATCGCGGGGCGCCAGATCCAGTGAATAAAGTGGATGAGGACACACTAACGTTTGCACGGGCCTGCCTGTCTGTGGGTGGCCCCTGGCAGCAGCGGTTCATTGTGTTTTCGGTCGCACCTTGCAAAGATGCTTGCGAGAGAGCACTTCCAGGACTGCTTCAGAGAGCGGCGAGCATGATGGGATAAGTGTTCAAAACAAGGGGCAGCATTTTGACAGGGGATTCTTGGCAGTGTGTCTTTTGCTGTAATACATTTTTCAACTTAAACATTCACTGTATATGTTGATCACCCCTTATGAATCTACAGCCTCCATAATAGCAGCTCACAGCCAGCTCCCCGAGTCCCCCCGAGGATGGGCAGCTTTATCTCAGGGGCTGAGAGAGAGGCCTGCTTCCCTGTTTGGAGGGGCTGGAGGAGCCTAATTTTATTTATCTTTAATCAACCATTTCCACGTGCTCCGTCTAGTCAAAGGCAGCGTCAGAGCGCAACACAGGCACATTATTTATATTTAGCCTTTCTTTATCCAGGGAGGTCTGGGGAGACCAGGAGCTCACGTGTGGAGACACCCCACCAGCAGCACTCCACCCCTCGGAGCCTTGGTGAGCTCTGCACGGACAATTCGAGCCAGAGGCAGGGGCGGGGCAGCCCCCTGCCATCGGATGGAGCAGCTGGGGCCACAGAGGCCTGCCTTTGCCTAGACGCTGGAGAAATGCAGGCTCTTCTCCCTCCAGCCTGCAGGGAGGCTCTGGGGCAGCGTGCATGTCCTCCAGACACTGCTGCCCCTCCTTGGAGAGCACTGCTGCTGTGAGGCTTGTGTCTGACCCTAACATCCCCCAGCTCAGTTTCTGGTCAGGGCCCTGGGCTCCACCTGCTCTCCCTGCCAGCCTCTGTCCCCGCTGTGTGGCCACGGCTCCATCACAGAGCTCTGCGAGGCCACTCGCTCCTTGACTAGCTTTTCTCTTCCTTATTTTCTGGGGAAGCACCAGTTTCTGTGCCAGACAGTGGCAGCAAGGGAAGGCCTGGGAGGTGGCAGCCAGGAGTCCTGCAGCCAGTGTCCCCACCTGTCACTTTGATCTGGGCTGGGTTAACACCGAAGCATGGTGGAGCTGGGAGGGAGGAGGTGGGAGAATTTGAATTCGCTCCAGCCATGCGGAAATGAAGGGAGAAGCAGACTGTTTGAGCTCAGATGGAGCACATTCTTTCTGTCCCTCCCTTGCTATGGTAAAATGGGGGTGGGGGGGCTGAGTAGTGGGCAAATGACAAGACCCAATATTCATTAGCGCCTCTGAAAGCTTCAAGAGACCGCTCATTATGGGGCCTTCACCTCTACCCCCAGTGTGGTTATTTACATAATGGCCTGACCCCAGGTCACCCTTCATTAACAAACACGTGGGAAAACACTGCTGCAGCTGGCGGCATCTCATAAATATATATTGTTAACCCCATGTAGACGGCCGACTTTCACCTACGCAGAGAAGAAGGGGTCCAGGTCAGCAGAACCATTCAGGGGAGGGCTCTAGGCTGCATTCAGCAGCACCTACCTCTTCATCAGAGCATGGAGTTCAACACCCGGTTAATGTGCCCGCCTGAGTTCTGGAAGCCAGGGATGGGGTGTTTCAGGTTAATTTGTTGGGCACTCGCTGGCAGGATGATTTCCCCTCCAGGCTGTGGGATTTGGAGAGAGAACCAGGCCTGCACGTGTTCGGTTCTGAAATGCATGCACCACGCTGGTCTTATGGTATCTTTTTGCTTTTTGGGTGCCTCTTTCTTCTCTCGGGCTCTAGCAGGGAGAGGCCTGGGGATGTCTGCCTCCTCTGTGGGGTAGAGCATGCAGCCTCTGAATCTCTCTCCTTCTCAGGATACTGTGGTGCCCCTGGAATCAGGGAGAGGCCGCCTAGGTGGGCTGAGGCCCGAGTTGGTTCAGGTGTTCTGGAAGGGCAGAGGAAAGGAAGGGCCAGAGCTGAGGGCCCTGGACTTCTCTCCCGCCCTCTAGCCACTCACTCTCCCCTCTGCAGGCTCCCACGGGCTCCAGGGCTAATGTGGGGACACATGATGACACATAATCATGCCGGAGAGGACACTGGCTGTGCAGTACCTGAAGCCCGGTGCTAGGGCCTGGACACCCAGCTGGACCCCAACTCTTCAGCGCAACTCACTGTTGTTTGCAGTACAATGACTCTTTTTTTCAGAGTGGCCCCACTGCCCACACTCACCAATGGACATCCAAGACCAGAGGCCGATTTCTGCATTTGTGATGAGGATGACAAGGCAGACCTCACTGTGTGTACTGGAGGATCTGGACTCTTTCTCAGTAGGCCAATATGACGGACAGTGGGCCAGAATGGCCAGTATTAGCTACACACTTACCATAGGCTATGTGTATTAGTTAGCTACTGCCATATAACAAGTTACCCCAAAGCTTAGTGGCTTAAAATAACACACATTGTCTATGGTGAACATTTATCCTTTCACACAGATTTTGTGAGATGTCTGACCCTGTTGTATCTTGACACTGCGGCTGACCAATGACTCCAGGCAAGGAGCTGTCCCCAAGTGTAGGTCCTCGAGGAAGGTAGGGTCAACTCCTGAGTTACAGAATGATAGGACTCTGACTTGAATTCCTGTTATCAGGGGTATTATTTCTATAGAAAAATTCTCAGGAAAATGCAGTCAGCATGTTTGAACACTTTTACTCTGAGGCTGGTTCTGATGGCCAGGAATCTGAGAGCGGCTTAGCTGGGTGTTCGGCTGCAGGTCATTCATGAGATAGCAATCAAGCTGCCAGCCTGGCATCTGCAGACTCCAGTGAGGCCAAATGATCTGCTTCTAGGCTTGCTGTTGGCAGGGGGCCTCAGGTTCTTGCTGCATGGACCTTTCCAGGTGGCTTCTTGAGCATCTTCTGGACATGGCCTTGAGCTTCCCCTGAGCACGAGACCCAGGAGGAGAATGCAAGGAAGCAGCATTGCCCTTTAAGACCTCATTTTGCAACTGGCACCATCTGCCACGTCCATTCATTAGAAGTGAGTCAATATATTCAGCCCACACTCAAGAAGGGGGAGATTCCACTCCACATCTCATAGGGAGGGGTGTCAAAAAGTTGTGAGTATATTTCAAAATGACCACTCAGGCAGAATGTCGGGTGCGTGTGTTATCTCAATTCCCACAGCAGCTACCATCTGTACCATTTTGCAGAAGAGAAAACCATCTCTCATGGGTTACAGGAGGTGCCACTGTCTTGCAGCCAGCTCCCTGCAGATCCAAGGTCTGGAATCAGCACTTTCTACAGAGAAGGGATTGTTCTACAGCTGTGCTGTTCAATATGGTAGCCCCTGGCCACGTGTGATTTCTGGGGACTTGAAATGTAGCTGGTGGAGGGGTCTGGTGGTGTATGCTTGTAATCCCAGCTACTTACGAGGCTGAGGCAGGAGGATCACAAGTTTGAAGCCAGCCTGGGTGACTTAGCAAGATCAAGTCTCAAAATAAAAAATAAAAAGGGCAAGGAATATGGTTCAGTGGTAGAGCACCCCTGAGTTTAATCTCCAACACTACGAAAAAGAAAACGAAATACAACTTGTGTCGAAGACCAGGGGCTTGTAGCTGGGGTTGAACTGGCTGGGTCTGCTACTGGTTGCCATGAAGGAGAATGAACCCCAGTGGGAGTCAGGAGCCCACTGAAGTCTGTGTAAGGTGTCAAAAGGATCTGGTTTCGGAAGTGGTCTGTGGCTGCTTGAGAGGGGACTGAGGGCCAGGAGCTCCCCCCAGATTAGACACTGTCAGAGAGAGAGAGGGGATGGCAGGGCATCTCAGTCCACTTCCGGAGGGCAGCCCAGAACCAGGGTAAGGATGCAGTGGAGAGAGAAGTGGCAGCCGCTCCTTTTGGCCAAGATGGTGGGTGTTTGCCGTTTGCAGGGGGCACAAAGACCTTGCCTTTGTGGCACTTAGGAGAAAATGACGAGGCCTTGTTTTGTCTCGTTTTATGACAGTCCAGGGAGCCCTGTCTGAGATCAGGGTCCTGTGAGATCACATCTGTCCCTCTAATAGCAGAAAGGAGGGGTGCTCTGCTCTACTGAGACAGAGATACTAAATCTTCAATTCACTAATTTGGATTCAAATCTAAATAGCCACATGGAGCTAGTTTATAAAATAGCTCAGGTATAGACCTTGTGGGCATATCCCTAACCACTATTCTGCCCTGCCTTGCTGAGCTGGGGCTGTGAACACCAGAGCAGTGCAAATGCTACCACAGCAGGGGAGGGAGGCAGAGCCTGGGGATAGCTGGGTGTGAGGGAGCACGGGCAGCTTCTCTCCCAGGGGTGCCTGGGGCCAGGGGACGCCTGCACCCTCAGCAACAAAGCATCAAAAAAGCCTCTAGTATGATGGCTTGTGTTTCTCAGAGGCTGCTTTGTGACGTTGCCAAGCCTTCTGGAGTGCAGAAGTCAAGCACTGGCCTTACTGGGAGGACCCTGTTAGCAGAGGGAAGGGTCCCCCGACCCGGCTCTGCATTGGAGGCCATTGCAGAGAGCAGAAAATAGCTCCCAACTTACAGCCCTTACCTCGGGCCCCCAGTTGGTCAGGGAGGAAGGGTGCAAGGCTGGGTACCCTCCCCAACCAACCCCACTCCAGTCAGGGAGACAGGGCCTTCCTCTTGTCAGGGGGTCCTGGGGCTGCTCGGGATCTGGTTGACCAGGGCTTCCTCCCAGCTGAGACTATTGAAGCCCAAGATGGCCCAAAACAATCTTACACTGCAATGCGTAAGATTATCAGCCATACCAGCAATCTCCTGGCCCAGTGCATTCACAGAAACCAAAATCTTGAAATAATTCAACAAGTGGCAATTTTCCCACTATTGTGCTGCTGCCAACTCTCTCTCTATATGTGACATATGAGGATTTTTCTTTAAAAAAGTGACAACTGTGTCATCAAGAAATTTTCTTCATGGACTATTCTCAGAGGGAGCTATAATTCTGTAGCATGTTTTGGTCAAGGTACTGAGTGCTAAATTAAAAGCAACTGCTTTAGGACTGCAACTCCCATACGAATGAACGGGAAGCCTGGGTGGGGAATGGGCATCAGTGGCCACCTGGGGTGACAGTGGACAGGAAACCACTCTGCTACTGGAGCAGTAGCAGATGAGCCAGCTCTCCGAAGGCTGACACAGGGTCCA